TACGCGACCGTTCCCCTTAACCGCCCCCCCGCGCTCCCCCCGCCACTACCTGAGCGCCGCGCCGGGCTCCGCTGCACCCACCGGATTCGGGTTTCCCGCGCGCGCGCCGGCAGCACCGCGCATGCGCCGAGGCCGAGCTCGGCGGACATTCTGACCGAGCCGCACACGTGGGAGCGCGGGGTGGCAGCGCCCCCTGGCGGGGGAGTCTCGCTCTGCCCCGCACCCACGGGGGAGAAGAGGCCCAGCCCACTCAGGACTGCATGCACTGGCAGGACACGCCTGCCCATGCTTTCAGTATTAAGTACGAATGAACATAAAAATAATGCCTATATTCGTAATAAATAATGATCTAGAAAAATAATACACTAATATAAAAAAAGTCATAATAATTGCAATCATGATCATAATAATAACAACTAGAATAAAATTGTTTCTGATGGAAACTTTCCAAAGAAAAGGAAATTCCATGAATCAACATTTAATTTCTCCCAGATGCCTCTTGGGAAAAAGGAGAAAGCCAGATTCCTATTTATTTATTTATGGGGGTGGGGAGTTACACACTGAAACGGGGTGTCCCAGATGAAAAATGTCCTAAAATACTGGGAAGTTACATTTTTAATTTTCTTTTGCGAGCATTTTCGACTACAAAATACCAACCTGGGTTCTGCAAGGTCTCAAATGGGTGCGCAAAACCAGAGCCCTGCAAAATGTTTAACGTAAAACAGCCACGTTTCAAACAGGCTCTTTTTGGAGCACTGCTCCATTTCTGCCGTAGTCCCCCCTCCCAGCACTATTTCCCTCTACAGTTTCCTGTTTCAAACCATTAAAAATCTCACACAATGCACCTTGGGCTGAAAAAAGCCATGTTTCTTCTTGGTTTCAATACACCTATTTATTTATTTGTGCGGTATGCTTGAGGAAAATAGATTCAGCTTTTAAACATTATTTTACTTAGAAATTATAGAAATGTAGGACTGCCATGAACCTAAAGAGATGTGGTCCATCCTCCTATTCTTTGGGTCAGGTTCAAATATAGCTAACTATCCCTTGTAGATGTTTATCAGCCTGCTTTTAAAAGCTTCCACATAATCATGTCACAAAAAATTACTCTACAACCTCCGTAGGCAACCTGTTTCAGCTTGCCTATCTCCTTTGGTAGATTCCTCACCATGTTTAAAACTTTCCTTGCTGCTAAATTAAGCTGGTCAACACTTGTACTGCCCTCAGTGGCCATGGAGAACAACGGTCATGTTTTCTGTAAGAACCTTTTCCATATTTGAAGACATATTCATCCCTCCCCCATTTATTTTTCTTCTTAAACAAACCCAGTTCTTTCAGCCTTTCTTTGCAAGTTGTTTTCTACACTTCTTATCCTTATTGTCCACCTTACTGTTCTCTTCAGTGTATCTAGGTCTATTTCTAGTGTGTAGTGCCATATCTACATACCAGAAGCCTCGGGCTTCTTTACTATTCATTCCACCCAGGAAGAGCACACCAACTGCAGATGCTTCCTCGGTCTGACAAAGGGTATTTATACCCAAAATCTTGCAAAGAAGAATTTTCCTAAGTATTTGAGTTGGTCTAATAAAAGATATCAGATTTACCCAAGGAACCTCGTCTGCTGATGTCCTTAGACCAACACCGCTACAACCTATGCCCCTGTAAATCTAAATACAGTACTCCAACCAAGGCCTCTCCAGTTTCAGTGGTATGGATGGATTAACATATTGTTCCATAACTAATAGACTTGCTTCCAGGCTAAAGGACAGATTTACTGTTGTGCCCTGACCTCCTTATTCCTCTCATGTAATGTAAAGGGGGCAGTACCAACTTGTCATGAAATATTTCTGATGTAAGGTGGTTTGCAGATGTTTGAGCTGTTTTCTACCCCTCTTAGAGTTCCCCAGCTTGTACTGCCTCCCTTAGAAAGTGATCTTCAGCCTCTGCAGGTCCATGGGCAACAACACTGAACAAGTCATGCATTTTTAGCCAACTTCATACTTTGTTCTCCCTTGTCATTTTAAACAAACACAACTGTGGAAAGCAAAATGTCCTTTGTCTGACACCAGAAGGCCATAAGTGGAGTACTGCTGCTCTAGTCAGATCCTATGAAATCTTCTAAATATAACGCAAGACTGTTAGCAAATTAAAACCTAGGATTCCAGACTAGCCCAGGGATTGACTTGACACCTCGTTCGATGAGTGACAGAAATACTTTATTTTACTACAAGTCAAGTGAGCCCAAACCAGTCCAGTAATTAGCTATAAGGTGATGATTTCGCACCGAACAGGTGACGAAGAGGCGGTCTGTTTCTCTTCAACTTCTCAAGTGAGGCGGGCACATCAGCAACTGGTATAAAATAAATTATTCACTCTTGAAGCACATGCACTGTTTGCTGTTTTACTGCCTTTTTATATCCTTAGCTCAGCATCTGCAAAGCATTCATTTAGTTGTGTAAATCAAGAGAGAGTCCCAAGCAGCAATTGGCAGGAAAATCCTGTTAATCAACCTGCTCATTATTGGTTATCAGAAATTTCTAATTTGAATGCGTTACCTTCTTCACTGACAAGAGGTTATCCAGTTTGGAACATATCAAGAAACTGATTAACAACCAGGAAAACCATGCGTGTCCTTGGAAAACAAGGTAAATCATGAGAGAAGAACAAAAACATAACTAAATCAGGAGGAGACACCTATCACATATGGAGAATGCCTCTTCCTGCACATAAACACAAGTTAATCACAAAAGAAATCTTTACCATACTAATTAATCAAGAAAAGGCATTTCACACCGTTACACATCAGACAACTAGGAGCCTGCCTGAAATTGTTCTGAAAATAGCAAGATAAGATGGAAGAGATACTTGTTATTCCTTCTCAGGTGGCCTAGCCATGAACTCGGATCCTCTTGCATTATGCAGTTAGCATCAGTATTCTGTATTTTAACTTTTGCGAGTAGGCCCGAGCTTAACGTGAGTTTCAGTCATCAAAGACATAAAAAAACCTGTTAAACAGGATCACCTGAGTCTAGGCAGCCTGTTAAAGCAGCAGTTTGTCTTCGTTCACAAATGGATACGGCAATAAAACAATACCAAATTGGAGGGGGGTGGGAGTGGAATTGTTTATCATCATGCATCTGATACCCTTTAACTACAAACAATATTTGCATTTAAAATCTCCATCTTGACAAATATATTGCCAATCTCCAGGAGTTTGTCCCACAGGAGATTAATTCACTTGCACACTGTGCGGGCCGGGAGCGACCCGAGCCCTTTTCCGTGCTGCACGTGGGCTGTGGCCAGCAGCCTGGGCACACCAGGTCGGAGAGGGAAGGCCGTCAAGCTGGAATTAGGCACAAATGCTTAGCGGTAGTTTAAAAGATTGTTTACTTACACTGAGATGGCAGTGGTGTAGGCTGGAAAACTTGTTTGAGTTGCGGTTACACACACAGACAGTCTTGTGGAGGTTGCTAGGCTCCACAGAACAGAGCTCCGGATGCTCTGGGTGAACGAGCCACCAAAATCAGAATCATAGGTACGTCTTATAAAAGTCACGCTCAAAGATGGGAAGAGGTGGGCGATGGATAGGCCAATCGTTAGCCGCCACGTGTGAATAATTTAGAACTAGCCAATAGCGGGGAACAAATTTACATACCGGTGGCGGGGAACTCTTTTGCACCATGCATTCCTCTTGCAACTTGAGCAATGCACTCTGCAAAAGAAGCTGCAGAAAAGGCGGGAAACTCGTCCCTGCCCTGGGGTTTTCCTCTGCAACAGGACACTCTCCCGTGCAATGAAGCTGCAACTTGGCGGGGATAATTCTGGTGCCGAAGCACACACAAAATCATGCCTTTGGGTCATGACACACACCATATGCTTTCCCCCCTCCAATCAGACCTCCAGAATTGGGGGTACTAAGTGAAGAAGCTAATTTTTCATTGCTGACAGATGCACAAAAGAAATAGAAGGCATACACCGTTGCAAGGTGACTGTTATGCTTCTCCCTCTGCCAGCCTCAGGGAGGGAGGAGATGGAGTCAACTCCTCTTAGGGTCAGAGCTAGTACCAGCCACAGCTACAGCCACAGCCAGTGGAGTCGGGATCTGTGATCAGCATTCAGCCATGACTGGAATATATATAAATTTAATTCTGCCTTCCCAAAACAAGGTTCATGTCTTACAGGGGAAGGAGGTGGGGTGGACTGTGGTACATGAGAAAAATATGCTGTGCACCATGCTGTTGTCCATACACGATTCCTTTACCAGACAAAGCTTGACAAACATCCTGCCTTAGCTACAGGTGGCTTAATATTGTATTGGGATCCCTGGTTGGAGCACCATGTGTCCCAGCATGAGACTGAGACCTCTCCTACTCCCCATGTGGCAGAGAAGTAGGATGATGTTCAGAATAGGGCCATGTTGGAAATCTATAGAGCTGCCTTATAAATTTTTCTCTGCCACAGATTAGCTAGGGCCACAGGCATGTTACTTCACTTCTAGTTCATTATTTATAAATACAGAGATTTTACTCAACTACCTCACTTCATTGCTTTGTGGTTTAATTATTATGACTATGAAGCAATACTGAACTGCAGAGGTGTGAAATGTTAATCTGACATCATGGAAATCTCACAAAACCATTGACAGATGTAAAGATGTGCCTGTAGTACAATGCCAACAAAGGAGTTCCTCCTGGGCTTTTATGCCACTGTTGAATAGACACTGAAGACCCATCCACCCTAAATATGTAACATGATATATGTGGTCAAAGAGAGATTGATCATCCTCAATCTGCAACTGCCCCCTCTCCACTGCTCCTTGTGCCTTCCCAAGACCAGGATGGTCCAGTCCTCCCAATCCCAGGAAAATTGAAGCAGTGGGGCAAATTGAAGCAGCACCTGCCTGTTCTTTACATTAGGGACTCCAGTGTAAGAATCAGGCAGGGGGCTGCGCTGTTCCTTGCTGCTCAGTTCCCAGTGCCTGGCAGCCCAGTGGAGGGAGTGGTGTTGCAAAGCCCCTGCCAGCCTCTCATACTGGGAGCTTCAGTGTTAGAAAGCAGGTGAGCAGCAGTTGGTGGCTGTTTCTTCCCTCCACTCTGCTCCTGGTCTACAGGACTCTGAAAGCAGTTGCCCTTCCCTCTTCTTCAGATAAGTGATACTGATCTCAGGAAGGCAAGGAAGCCTTTCCCCAAGCTCCCAAAACCAGGGCAAAGTGTGCAGATGTTCAGCCTCCCAGGAGAAACTCTCTCAGAAAGGAATTCAACCCTGGTTATTCCCCAGCTATTTTTCTCCCAGAGCTGCCATGGTTTGCGTTTGGTGAAATAACTTGAATGCCTGCCCACTTGTAGTTTCAACCAGAACTGTGATTCCACCAGGAGAAACTGAATGTCTGTACCCAGCCATTGCTATAATCTGAATGTACAAGATTACACAGGGAAGGGCAATGTTTAACACTGCTTTTATTCCGTATGTCCGTCATTAAGGTGGTGAGGCCTTTCAGTCAGCACTAAACAGTATTTTTGTACAGCATTTATTCTGAAACACATTTCTGGCTGAAAAGAGAATTTTGGCAGTGCAACCTAAAAAGGACAAGAGTGAAGACAATGTATCCAGTTTTAAACACTGTTCTAGGCATTCTGTTGCTGCGTTCAAACAAATGCTTTTAGCTCATGTCCTGGGACACGCAGGACAGATGTTTAAAACAGCTGTGTCCCAACAAAAATGAATCTGTTCCTCCTGCTCTCTGGTGCTGTTCCTTCCCTCCCCCTGCTGAGCTGAAACCAGAGCTCCGAGACAGCTGAGCATGCCAGAGCCAGGACAGAACAGTGTGTCCTGTTTTGCAACCAGGGAAATATGGGATTTTATTTTTTGCCACCTTTAAGGACATCATCTCTGTAAATCAGTGTAGATAAAGCATCTGACACAAAGCAAATACGGTAACAGGACTCTTGCTTCAATTTATTTTGGAGTCTTATCACTGGATTGCTGAATTCAGTGAAGTAAGGTTTTACACACCCACGCTATCAATTAGAGCACTTACCAAGAGCTCAGAATTCACACAATTGTCCTACATCATTATGCTAGCACTGCTTTTTTGGTTTCAGAATATTTCACTGGATATTGGCTTCTTCATCTCCACAGTATCATATCCATCCCTGGGTACTACAGGTTGTTATTTCTGACCAAGGTGATACTGGTGTCAGGCTAAGGTTGAGCTTCAAAAAGCCAAAAATTTTGGAGTTAGAAATTCAGCCTCTTATGTTAGACAGCTGACACTCCTATAAAAGGAATGCAATCAATATTGCTACCTTTAGAGGAATACTTTCCCTGGTACAGGCTTCCCTCGCTTTATGCTGTACATGCATTCCTGGAAAACGGCGCATAACTCAAATTCACATAGAGGGAACCCATTTTACAATGTAACAAATAGGGACACGTTCCAAGACCTGAACTGCACAGACCCCCAGACCCATTTCTACCACTTTTACAAGACAATTTTGGTACTCCCCAACAGCGGACAGTACACACAAGCACAGGGTGGTGGTGAATGTTACCGTCATGGGTACGGCAACTATGGAAATGTGTCGCAGACAACAAGTGAGGAGCACAGATCCACACAGGAGACTATATTTTGGTGCGTATCACTCCCACAATGCACCGCACAAAGCAGCTGACTGCGGGCTTCCACCACACTGGTTGCAAAAGAGTGGATTTACCTCGCATATAATAAATTTTTGGTATAGAGAGGGTCATTGCATAAGAGCAAATTTGCACATACAGAACCATCATAAAGCGAGAGAAATCTGTAGTACAAATACCAGATGCTCAACAGAAATTGACCCAGTGGCAACCCGGGTAAAATAATTCCCTCACCTCCTAAATGAAAAAAAGAACAAGAACAAAACAACAACAAAAAACAAGCAACCTTCTCCCCCGTAACCTCCACCACCCAAAACCCCCCCACCCCCCCAAACCAAACCAACGTAAGAAAACCGAGGGTGCCAGAATGTCAATATCTACATAAGTTTGAGAAAAGGTTTGAATGGAAGTTTTGAAGGAAAGGTAAGTATTGATGACTGGCTACTGAAAGGAGGAAAACTCAGATTCCTCAAAAAATTAGTATTTAAAATAAAGCCAGGATCATTTGAGCCATTATGCATAGCTTTTATTTAAAGCAAAAATTTGCATTTGACCAGTTACAAGTTTTGATCTCACAGAAAACCAGATTTTTTTAATACAAAAAATACATCTATTTACTTTAACAAGTAAATAAAAACATTTCAATTTACTAATTTTTTTCAAAGTTTAATGTACAGTATAAAGTTCTTATTTTCAATATAGATATGTTATATTTTACCAGTCATCTATAATAAAGTCAACTACAGAAGCAATTGATGAACAGAGGTAATAAATTAACAATAAAGACATCAGCTTGAAAAAGTGCACACCAATTAATGGAAAATATAAGTTTTTAAAACTTGTAAGAACATTTTTACATTACAGCCATCTTTTCAAATTAAGCATTAGCCATTATAAGCATAAGAGTATTGCTTTATCCCTATTAGTATAATACTAGATCAGGTATATGTTAGTTTTCAGACAATACTCTTAACTTAGACTAGGTGAAGTACAACTTGGGAATACAACCCTATTTAAAATGAGACAGTAACACTGTGGAAGCCAATGGTTTTAATTTTATAAAAATACATTTAATAAAACCTAGTTCTAAAGATGTTTTCATGATTATTTTGAAAGTTTCAATTCAAAGATTGGAAGTCTTTATTGGAACAGGTTGTATTTAGACCACTATTCAAATGACAAGCATCATGGAGATACGTTGTATATGCCACGTCTCTTCTGGTGACTGCTCAACTGCCAAGGTGGTGGGGAATGCAATGATCACACCATCATTACACCCATGTTTCTTTCCTCTCAGCACCATTAAAAAGTCTGAACAGTGTTTGGCAGATTGTGCCAATTGTGCTTAAGCAGTAGAACCTGACTAGAAACAAAAAATCAGGTGAACCTGACTAGAAACAAAAAAAATGATTCCATCTTTTTTTGCCCAGGACAAAACGTTTCAAATTGAAAAAATAATTAAATCAGATTTACAATTTTTAATCTTTATGAACTCACTGGTTGTAAATATAATGGGAAAGGAAAATGTTTACTTTAACTCGACAGTGAGCTTCCAATAAAGATTAGAGATTTCATTAAAATAATGTAGCAGTCCACTGTAACCATACAGCATACTTTTTGAGAGGCAAGGGTTTTTGTGGGTCACGTATTTTGTTGGATCAGCTACGAGGCTGTGAGAAATGTTTAGGTACAAGGCACACTTCTTCAGGTCTCCCAAAGACACCCTTTTCAGGGTGACCTGAAAAATGTTGTACCCAAAAGCTTGTCTAAATCTCTCCCAGCCACACTGTTAGTCCAATAAAGGCACTATTTACAAAAACCGTTTCCTCTTGAATATTTTCTAGATCATCGTGGTTCAAACAGCACTCCTTTATTATTTTCATTTTTAAGGGAAGCCAGATCAAAAGACTCTAATTACAGCACTGTTTCACATCAGCCTGAAAGAAAACCTGGTACTTTCACAATGAACTCAACATTTGATATTACAACAATAATTTTTGGGGGGGGAATTTAAGATACATACGTAAAAGGCATTTGTCCACATCACAAAACCACTACACAATTTAATCTGATTGGTAAATTTTGCTCAAGGAGCAGGTCTATCTAGTACTGAATTCCTGTTTCAGGTCAGGATTGAAATGCACTAGCAATGCTATGCAACTAACCTTACACAGCATATGCCAAGACTATGTCTGTAAGTAGTTGGGCACTACATGTAATTTTTTTGAATGCTACTGGGTACCTGCAAATCTCACCGGCTTTGACAGGAACTAGGAGTATTTCATACTTGTCAAGGTAAGACTCTTACTGTACTATCAAAAAGGTGCTATCAAAGAGGATAACATATGAATCTAATGGTTATGGTTTGATCACATACAACACTGGGTTTATCTTTCAACCATTATCAGCAAGGGCAATACTGAAATTTACAATGTTTATTCTGAAGGAGAAATCAAAGATGGTACTTTTAATGCCACTGTCTTCATTTTGCAGGAACAAACAAATTTAACGATCAATGAGATAGTACAAAATCAAAAGAAAGCTGAACAACTTTGTACAAAATGACTGCGATTCCATAGAAGTAATAAAAATATCTGCAGATTTAATTACAAATACATTTACATTTTAAAACAAAAACATTTAAATTTAAGTATGTCTGGGGTTGCTCAACACTGACAGTGTTCCTTTAAAAATAAAGTTAAAGTTACACAGTAAAGTACCTGCCATCTCTGTGGGAACATTTGAGTGCATAGAATATATACATTTTACATTGGGTTTGTGGTACATAATATATCTAAATTACTCAAACATAAAATGAAAACAATATTTACAGTATTTACTGTACAATATAGTAGAGACTGAGCAAATGTCTACTGAGTCCAATACTAAGTACTGCTGATTTCATGCATTTGTTCCACAACTTGTCCTAAGATTTCATCAACTACATCAACGTCATAATTTACTTCCTTTAAATCTAGATCAGGCATAATTGTAGCCAACAAATGTCCAACATTTACTCGAAGGGATCGCAGTTTCAGGCTGTAAGGAAAGAATATTGATCATATTAGAGAAGCTTCTATATGCATAGTGCAGATAATTCTGAATTTGCAAAATAAATTAATGTTTTAAATAATTAATTTAGAATGATGCCCGCAGTAAACTGCAGTTCTCACAATTATGCTATCCAACTGATAACCAAAGGTTCTATATATCTGACTTAAAAGAAGATGAGCCAATATAAAATGTAATATAGCTTAAAGTTCCCTATCCCTAGTGGCTAAGACCAATATTTTAGGGTTTGAGTATCACAGCTCCTGATCTGGAGGTTTGTATGATTATTAAATTTTAAATGAAAGCAGTACCTAGTTTCATCAGGGGATCTGGGGTGCACTCCTACCCCCTTGATTCCTGCTCCACTGAAAGGTCAAAAAAATTGGCCAGCAGGGACAGCCACATACCTACTGAGGTGGAGCTAAGAAAGTCAACTGACTTCATGGCTCATTATTATCTACTTGATTTCTGCTAATATCTCTACTTTATAGGCATTGCAACCCTTGATCTTCCTCTAAGCTAGCCTTTCTTTTACAATTACCCTGTCTGTTATCTATTCCCAGTAATATTTCTCACCTCACCACCCAGTACATCCAGTAAAAGTGTGCTGCTATCTAGGAACCTGTAGTGGGTGGTTTTGTTTCTAGGGGATTTGAACCTACAACATATCAGAGACAAGGAGGGGAGGGGCAGGGCTAAAAGCAGGCTGAGCTGTGGAGCAGCACAGTAGTCAGTGGCAGGAGGGAGTTGGAAAAGTAAAGCAAAGAAATAAGTTATTAGTCACCCTTTTTTGGGTTATTCATTGCAACAGATGATAAGGCTGTGTGAGGTTAACCTAGTAATACAATCAGGTTGGCATGAAGCCAGACTTCGGCAGACCCAGAGGGGTTGGACTCCCCAGGTAAGGGAGTTGCCAGTGGCTGAAGTAAGTCCTCCCCTAACTTCAGTTCTTGTATATTGAGGATGAAGGCCAGCTGGGGGCATGTTGTAGGGAGGGGGTGGTCTGTGCAGAAAAGGAAATGTTGAAGAGAAGGGGAGCTTAGACAATAGAGGGGTGGGGATTGAGAAGGTACTAGGGCATTATGGGGGCAGAGAGGTGTGAAGGGCAGATAGGGTTTGAATGCAAAAACAATTGTGTAGGAGGGAGGCCTCCAAGGGGTATGATGGTTTACAGTGAGGTTTGAAAGGAGAGCATCATCCATTTTCTAGTAAATTTTCTATTCAAAGTATTCAAGAAAGTTTTGTCTGTTTATGGATTAACTTGTACTCTCCAGGGTCAGGAGAAGGCTCAGTGGGATGCGAGGAAGATGGTCAAGAGTCTAGGGGCTGAGGCATGATGGAGATGAGTTTGTGCTGGGTGTGGGTGGTGGTATCTGACAGGGCTTGGGGCACAATGGGATGTTGCTGATCATGGTGTATGTGGGATACCAGCAGACAGAGTTAAGCAACAAGGGGGCATCTGAGACGATAGGGATAATCCATAAGGGGCACTTTGGGGCCATGAGGGAGTGTTTGAGGGACCTACACGTAGGGGTGCAGGGAGCAGGTCCGTCCATGGCCAGACGGCAGGTAACGACTGACACCAGGTGCCTGTCCTATCCTGAAGATAGCAATTCCTCTCCCAATTTTGTTTGGATCATAAACTGAACATAGGTCTCTAGGCCCCTAGCACATCAGTAAAGCTTCTAGATTCTTTTTAACTGGAGAAAAATAGATCTTGTGTCATGGGATGATACACTACAACACCTGCATCCCCTTTTCCAAAGCCCTAGCTCTGTCCATGAGTTCCATCCTTCTCACTAAACATAACATTGGAATAACAGAGACTTGGTGGAATAGCTCGCACGACTGGAACAGTATCACAGATAGGTATAAACTGTTCCAGAAGGACAAGCAGGGCAGAGGAGGAGGAGGAGTTGCACTTTATGTAAAAGAGCTGTATGATTGCTCAGAGCTCCAGTATGAAACTGGAGACAGGCTTGTTGAAAGTCTCTGGGTTAGTGTCTGAGGGTAGAGCAACAAGGGTAATGCCGTGGTGAGTGTATGCTACAGACCAACAGACCAGGTGGATGATGTTTTCTTCGAACAGCTAGCGCAAACGTCCCATTCACAGGTCCTGGTTCTAATGGGGGACTGCAATCACCCTCATATCTGCTGGAAGGGCAATACAGCAGTGCACAAGCAATCCGGGAAGTTTTTGGAGAGTGCTGGGGGACAACTTCCTGGTGCAAGTGTTGGAGGCCAACTAGGGGCTGTGCTCTTCTTGCCTGCTGCTCACAAACAGGGAAGAATTGGTGGGGAATGCAGTAGTGGATGGGAACATGGGCAGCAGTGACCCTGAGATGATTCAGTTGATGATCCTGAGGAAAGGAAGGAAGGACAACAGCAGAATATGGACCCTGGACTTCAGAAAAGCAATTTGGACTCACTGATGGCCCAACTGAGGGGGAAAGCAGTTTAGGCGAGCTGGTTGTATTTTAAAGAAACCTTACTGAGGGCACAGGAACAAACCATCCTGATGTGTAGGAAGACTAGCAAATATGGCAGAAGACCAGCTTGGTTTAGCAGGGATCTATTCAGGGAGCTAACAAACAAATGGAAGCTTACAAGAAGTGGAAACTTGGACAAATGGCTAGAAAGAAGCACACAGGGATGAAATCAGGAAGGCCAAAGAGCAAGTGAAGTTGCAGCTAGCAAGGGATGTGAAGAGTAACAAGAAGGGATTCTACAAGCATGTCAGCAACAAGAGGAAGAACAGGGAAAGTGTGGGTCCCTTACTGAATGGGGGAAGGCAACCCAGTGACAGAGGATGAGGAAAAGACTAAAGTACTCAATGCCTTTTTCAGCTTAGTCTTCACAGGCAAGGTCAGCTCCCAGCACATGGCAGCACAATTTGGAGAGTAGGTAAGCAGCCAACAGTGACCAAAGAATAGATTAGGGAGTATTTAGAAAAGCTGGATGTATAAAAGTCCATGGGGCCAAATGCAATGCACCCAAGAGTACAGAGGCAGCTGGCTGATTTGATTTCAGGGCTGCTGGCTATTATCTCTGAAAATTCATGGTGATTGGGAGAGGTCCTGGATAACTGGAAAAAGGCAAATATAGTGTCTATCTTTAAAAAAAAGAAGAAGGAGCATCTGGGAAACTAGAGACCAGTCAGCTTCTCCTCAGTTCGTGGAAAAAATCATTGAGCAGGCCACAAGGAGTCCATTCCTAAGCACTTGGAGAAGAAGGTGGTGGTGATTAGGAACAGTCTGCATGAATTCACCAAGGGAAAGTAATGCCTGGCCAACCTGATTGCCTTCCACAACGATATGATTGGCTCTGTGGATGTGGGGAAGAGCAATAGACATGATATACCTTGACTTTGGCAAGGATTTTGACATGGTCTCCCACAACATTCTCACCAGCAAGCTAAGGAAGTCTGGGTTGGATGAATGAACTGTAGGGTGGATACTAAAATGGCTGGATCATCAGACTCAAAGGGTAGTAATCAATGGCTTGATGTCTAATTGGCAGTCTGTGTCAAGTGGAGTGCCCCAGGGGTTGGTCCTGGGGCTGGTTTTATTCATTATCTTTACCAGCAACTTGGAAGATGGCATAGAGTGCACCCACAGCAAGTTTGCTGATGATACCAAGCTGGGGGAAGTAGTAGATATGCTGGAGGGTAGGGCTAGGATTCAGAGAGACCTTGACAAATTGGAGGACTGAACCAAAAGAAATCTCATGAGTTTCAGTAAGGACAAGTACAAAGTCCTGCACTTAAGACAAAACAATCCCATTCACCGGTACAGGCTGGGAACTGACTGGCTAAGCAACAGCTCTACACAAAAGGACCTGAGGGTTACAGCAGACAACAAGCTAAATATCAGTCAGCAATGTGACCTTGTTGTGAAGAAGGCTAACAGCATACTGGCCTGCATTATTAGGAGCATTGCCAGCAGACTGGGTGGGGGAAGCGATTCTTCCTCTATTCTGCACTGGTGAGGCCACATCTGGAGTACTTGTGTACAGTTTTGGGCCCCCACTACAGAAAGGATGAATTGGAGAGTCCAGTGGAGAGCAATGAAAATTGTTAGGGATCAGGGGCACATGGCTTCTGAGGAGAGGCGGAGGGAACTGGGCTTATTTAGTCTGAAAAAGTGAAGACTGAGAGGGGATTTGATAGCAGCCTTCAACCTCTCGGTTCCAAAGAGGATGGAGCTAGAGTGTGCTCAGTGGTGGCAGATGACAGAATAAAGAACAATGGCCTCAAGTTGCAACAAGGGAATTTAGGTTAGATATTAGGAAAAACTTGCTCACCAGGAGGGTAGTAAAGCACTGGAACAGCTTATCCAGAGCAGTTGTGATCTCTCTGTCCTTGGAGGTTTTTAGGACCTGGCTAGACAAAGCTTTGGCTGGGTTAATATAGATGGGGATGGTCCTGCTTTGAGCAGGGGGTTGGACTAGATGACCTCCTGAGGTCCCTTCCAACTCTAATTTTCTATGATTCTATGATAAAACAACCTTGAATAAAAAAGGCAAGAGGTTTTCTTTATTTGTTTGGATTGGCAAACTCAAACACTGGCAGAGACACTTCTCTCCAATTTTGCTAACAAAAAACAAACTGTGAGAGAAACACTTTAATTCTCCAGGGACAAAAGGAGATGAAAAAAAGGAGCAGCTAAGAGAAAGGTTTACTTTGTTCCAAAAGTACCTCAAAGAAGAGTTGTTCAACCTGTAACTGGATGGGGGCTGCATCCCATGCCAGCTGCAATACTGGGAGCCAAGGGCTCCTGGGCAGCCATGTGTGGCTCTGTGACATCTTGTGCCTCCTGCCTTCTGGGGCGGGCACAGAAAGCAGAGGTTGTAGGAGAGAAGGGAAGCCTGGAGTCCCTGATTGCTAGTGCAGCTCAAGCAACAGGGGGGAGCAGCAACTGGGTGGGAGCCTAGGGGGAGCAGATTAACCCCTCAGGGTGCATTTGGCCCATGGGCTACCAGTTGGACAGCCTGGCCTGAAATTAAAAGCAGAAGTGAATGTAAAGACATGAATCTATATGCTTTAGATGAGGGCAGCCTGGAGCCACATGGGTCACAGACCACAGGCTCAGCCCTGGGTATCCCTTGCTGCATGGGCTGCCCAGTGCCTCCCATCTCCTAGTAACATGTACCACATGGACTGCCCAGTGTGCCCCCATGGGGTACACAGCCCAGCATCCCCTCCTCCCCAGTACAGGCAGCCTGGCTCCCTCCACATGGTGTGTGCAGCCAAGAGGTGTAGGGGTTGCTGCATGTGTGGCATGCTTAGCTGGGAGAGGCGAATGGGACAGGGACACACTGGGCTGCCTGTACTGCAGAGCTGCCTGCATCACTCATGCAGGAGGGAGGGTGCTGGATAGCCCAGCTCCCCCTCTCTCCCACCCACATATATCACATGGGCAGCACTCCTCCCTCCCCCCTCAGTATAGCTCCCCATGTGTGGTCAAGGAAGGGGTTATGGCAAGCACAGTTGGGTGTTTGGGGGGGAGGGGGGGGGTCTAGCACCTAGCACCCTGCTTGCCATGCAAGCATCAGGGACAGCTCCACAGAACAGGCAGCCTAGCTCTCAGCACTGTGGCTGGGAGGGGGTTGCTGCATATAGATGGGGAAGGTGGAGACCTGGGCAGCCTGGCTTCCCCACCCTTACCCTACTGCGTATGCAGCCCAACACTGCTGCATCCCAGCTGCATGCATTACCCACTTTCAGTGTGGGCAGGCTCCCTTTTTTGCTGTACTGCTTGGGCAGTCCAGCTGTTTTCCATCTGCAGCAGCAGGAGCACCTGGGGAGGGGGAATGGCAGCCAGCTGGGAGCGTAAGGGCCACATGCTAATACTTCAGGGGCCACTAGTTGGACAGCCCTGCTTAGATGTACCTTTCTGTTTTATTTTATAAATTTTTTTTTAATTCACCCTTACCCTTCTGTGTCCTTTTCAAGCACCTTTTGCTTTCTTCTATATTCCTCTTCTTTTCTTGTTATTCCTTTTGTATGCCTTTTCTCTCTCTGCCTTTCCACCCCCCACAAGTTATTCCTGAATCAAGCACCCCTTCTTTTCTTTAGAGTACTTTCTTCTTGGAAACATTTCCTTTAGCACTGCCTGTAGTTGATAATCTAGCATGATCTGTGGATGGTTTCTGTCAAAACAAATACACTCCCTTGTCCAAATATATGCAAGTGCAGAAAAACTGGATGCCACTGGTAGCAAAATCAACTGCTGATTTAAGGAGCTACCACAGCTGAGGAAGCAGCAAGATCAGACCTGTAGCTCACACCCCACACTTGAAATGCAGCCCATAAAGACACGTCACATGGAAGGCAAGTCAACTAAAATATGTAAAAGATACATTCACTAGAGAGTACACGTAATCTATAAACAAATGAACAAAACTTCTTTAGATACCTCTCGATAGAAAACTTACAAGAAAATGGTTGATGCTCTCCTTTCCCTGTTGCAAAGCATTAAGTATTCTGTTAATCCTTCATTAATGCCGTGAAAGCAATGACTATTAATCAAACCTATTTTATTTGTGCTGCAAACATTTTTTTTGGATTAATTAGACAATGAGCTCGGCATGCAGGTGCTTTAATTCTTTTAATGTGGACCCTAGATAACAACTAATCTGAAAAAAATCTTTTAGAAGATGAAGTATGAATGTTAGGAGGGCAGCAGTGAAAAATTCAGAGAGGCTGAGAAGACCAGAAACGGGCTTGAAATAGGCAACTAATACCTTTCTTCATCGGAGTAATTTACATGATCTTCAACATTACTGGTTGTAGAATCACCTGCTTGTGCTACCGCTTGTGGAATTGAAGCTTTTAATTGTGCAATTTCTGTTTTAAGCTCCTCACACTGAAAGGCTATTTGAGTTTTCTCCATTGACAGCAGCTCAATCTGAAACACAAAAATCAAAATAGTCACTTTTAACTCCAAAGTCAAGATACAGCAATTTAAATCAAGGTGAATTAGGAAATGATTTAAATTTACTTGACTTCTAGAAGTAGCTTACTGAAACACTGAAAAACCCTTTAGTTATCTGTGCCATTACAAATTTAGATATACATTTAACTCCATTATATGTTTTATGAAATTTGTATTACTACTGATAACATTGTTAACGCTCCTATAGACAAAGAAAGGAAAAAAAGAAGAAAAGAAAAAGTCTTTATGTACCTGCAAACAAGCAGGTACATAAAACATTATGCACATATATTCTTCAAAAGAGACTCCTCAAACTCATGCTTGAGGTTAAATCATATATGAAAGTTTTTTATAATTGCATTTTTATACCACTAAAAATGTTATAAAATGTTGTCATTTCAAAACATAACTTCAGTAGTAACAATGAGAAGTTCACTTTTAATATGTTAACCTTTTTTTCTTTAATATGCATATAAACTAACATTAAAAAAAAATAAGAACCTAATATTTGTAGCCTAAATGTAATTTTAGGAGCCTAAAGGTGTGATTCTTCAGAAGCACCTATCTGATTTAGAAGGGAGGACAAGTTTAATTGGTTTCAAGCTTATGGATACTAACTGGTTGAGGTATTTTAGCTTCCGTAAAACAAATTAAACAGAGGAGAAACGGGTACTGGGTGCAGTCATGAAACAAGCTACTTTCTCAATTTTTTTGTTTGACTTTGTTGTTCACAGAAAAAGACTTCTCTTTTCAGCACAGACCAAGTTTCATAGTTAAGATTCTTACCTTTGTAAAATTTGACATTCTAGTACAGGCAGATGGCATCCACTTTAGCTATTTAAGACTAAGAAATATTGAGCAACAATTAAAGAATGTTTTCTTAGTCATTTTTATGCACTCTATATGAAGTGAAAGAAAACTATTATTGTTCCTAGAGTTGACTGAAACAAAGGAAGCGAATGTTCATTTTTCTTAAGGCAAAAAGGCAGAATGTGTTTACTCCTTCATGATATTGTGCAGTGGTTCTCAACCTATTTGCCACAGTGGACCACACTTGCAGCTCTCAATGTATTACGTGGGCCACATTCACACAACTTACTTCCTGTGTATCAGTTTAAAAAAATGTTTTAACAGGTTGTCACATGGGCCGCAGCAGTGTGCTGACTGGGCTGCATGTGGTCTGTGGGCTGAGAACCACTGACAAAGTGCAAAAACGTATCACCTAAAATGGACATAACACTTAAATACATTACACAAAATCCACCCTAATTCTGAATATACTTAAATAAAATTACTACTTGTAAAAAACGCAAATTGACAATACAGAGGGCAGCAAACGTATTTATACTTATCATAAGCAATGTATTTCCAAAACCGTGAAATCTCCTATGTGCTATTCTACTTATATGTTTCAAGCTTACTTTGCAGGGGAATCACTTCTATATGGATAACAGTAAAGTAAGTTTCTATCCAAATTCAATTATCTAGTTCCTTTACTAGTTGTGTCACTTAAACCTGTCTTTTATGTGATAAAATCATGAACATAATTCCTATGTTAGAGCCAATTTTTTAAATTTAACATTTTGAGAAGTATTAAAATAGGAACTGTAACATAGTAGTTGTTGTTCTGAGGCATTTGTTTGGGTGGTCGCTTGCTCACAGTCAATTTAGGTGTTCAAGCTGCTTGGGCCTCTGCACTCTGAGGCCAATACCAGAAACTGGCCTCCTGAAGCACAGGGTGCAATGGAGAAGGAATAACTCAAATTAGTGCTGGGTGGCAAAAAGCTCCAAGCAGTCGTCATTTTGACAGCACATGAGCTGGTCTGTTCAATAATCAGCTGAACTCAGTAGACCTGCCCAGGAAAACACCATGCGTAAACTATGCTCCCCTAGGCTGCTACAAAAAAACCAAACAAAAAAACCCCAAACTGTCCAGCACCTATATTTATACCCAATTGTTCATGCCAATATTTATCTGCCCCTTTGCTAAGATATCAATTTTACTTGTCCATTTGCCAAGTTCATACCTGGCCCCTTCGGTTTTTACTTTACTCCTAAACACTCCCTTTTTGTACCTCTCTCCTTGTTACTATGTTTTTATTTTTTCTATATCCCCTGTCAAGACATTTAGAGGTCTGTAACACCTGTTTTTTCTGAGCACTCTCAGAGCCTTAACATAACTAGAAGTCCCAAAGGAGTAAGAACATACTAAAGTAATGTGTGAATGGACACACAGACAGGTTTGGATATGTAAATAAACAATTTACAGCATACATGCAAATAACATATCTTGGGCCTATCAGCTAATAAATTAATCCAAATAACCTCGTCTGACTGTACCATTGGTAACCTAACCTTGATTTCCTAATATTTTCTTCCAATGGTATACAGTGTACTCCAGAGTACTGGTCTTTGCTCACTTGGTGACTCACTGATGGCTAGAGAGATCCTTGGGCAAACTCAATGAATGATGGAGGCTTTTAAAAACAAAACAAAACAAAACAAAACCACCTCACCCCCCCCTCCCATTGACATTTTTGACAAAATTACTCTCCCTTTCCATTAACTATATTAATGTGCATACCTCATTTTTGTATTGGTCCCTCTCAATACTGCATTTATCTAGTTGTCTGAAGACATCATCAAGTTGCACAGCAATTTCATCCACCTCACTTTTACTGTCACCATTAGTACATTTGCTGCATTCAGTTTTTAAGTTTTGCAGAGTATTGCACTGTTCCTTTAGATTTTCTATCTCTTTTAAGGCTTGTTGGTACAGAATAGCTATGCCTTCTGGACTATGTTCCTGGAAATGTTCAAGGAATGTGGTATTAGTCTCAGTTGATTGATGGCACATTTCCTTTTTCACATACTTATCATTCATTTCTACTATCTTCTGCTCCAGCATTTCCACCTGTTGGGCTAACATTTCACACTGTTTCCAGTAAGTTTCTTTTTCTTCATTTGTTAATTGCAACTGATTTTTTAGTTCATTTAATTTAATTCCAAGATCTGCAGAAGAGGTCTCAGAAACATTTGCAATTTCTTGAAGGTTTGGTCCAAGTCTGTCCATTTCTGATGCAGACAGCGGATTACCTGGGCTATCTTCCACTTCTTCCTTTTTAACAACTAAGTTTGGGATCTCAGTTTGTGTTGCTGCAGTCCAGTGTCCACATTTAGTCTCAGAAGTAACTGTACCACAAGGTTCCTTGACATCACAGCTTTCTTTGGGTATGCTCCCTTGATCCTCACTAATATGTTCAGTTTTTATTATCACTATATCAGAGTCTACTGCAGGCTTTGGAGTACTATTCTCCTCTAAAATGATGACATCTTCATCATCATCTTCAGCATGATTGTCAATTACTTGATTATGTAACCGTGGTGTCTTTGCAGTTATGGGTGTCAAACAACCAGAAGCCCTCCGTTTAAGACTGATGGGAAAAAGAGAAATAGTTTACTGTAACTTATTATATTATGCAAAATAATTTGTTTTCAAAGTTTTAAATTTCAAAATTTATGTGGACCATATTCATGAAATTATGTTGGGCTACACCGACTCTAGACAAAGTGGTTCTGTTTTCTAATTTAAAAAACTGGAGGCCAACTTTACGAGTTCTAAACCTCACATTTTAGAGTACTTTTGAAATTCAAAGACTGAATGAACTGAAACAGGACAGAGTGAGTAAAAGTGATTAATTCTGCCTGATGAAGGGTATTCGTATTTGAAAGCTTGCAAAGATGATTTTTTCCAACTATTTGGGTTGGTCTAATAAAAAATATCAGATTTACTTAAAGAACCTTGTCTGCCTAATTCTGCTCAACAATTCTGTTGTGACTGCTGGTTCTCCCTGGTACAATTAGGAAGAGACAACCTCTAAAACTATAGCTTATTTTCTAGCACTTCCAGGCAAGTCATACAGCAAATGCCTAATTTTGTATTCTTTGGGGCTAATTTAGTACATGCTGTTATCAGGGTCTCTGTGTAATTTGTAAACGTGGTAATCATTCGTTATATTAATCCAGTGGTGCTCAATCTTTTTGCCCAGTGGGTTGGATGGGTAGTGCCTGATCCCTCTGCAGGCCAGATCCAGCTGTTGGACCCAATCAGGTGCCTGGGGTGGGCACAGCAGGGCCACATCTGGTGACAAAGAGTGGGGAGGGGGGCAGCCCAGCTCCAATCCAACTGCATGGGGACAAGGGGCTTGGGTCCAGCCCCAACACAGCTACACAGGCGGCAGGGGGCATGCCTCAGCCCCAATCTGGCTGGGCAGGGGGAAGAGGGCATGGCCCGTCCCTGGAGC